ACAGGCGTAAAACCTTTATTCTTGTTCTCTTGCCACCCCAATATAAAGAAATGTTGAATAGCAAAGTCAAAACAGGACAGTGAAATTACATGAGGAACTGGGTAGAGAATACGCTAAATAAGCGATGCAATAACAATTGAAAAGATTTCTTTTGGGTGGGGAACACGTTAACAATATTTGTTGTAAATATTGATACATACTAAAATAAACATTAATTTCGGCAATGCATGCGATAAACGGATTCCATACTTAATATTTCTGGTTCTAATCCTACCCAGTAGTTAGTTTCAAGAGCTAAAAGGACTTTCACTGGGTTGTTGTTGTTGTTGTTGTAGCGGCACTACTAAGCCTCGCCTATTTAGGTTCATTCTTCAATCCTTGTCGTCAAGCTCAATTATCGGTAGGCCCAGGAAACGGGCAGTTTCAATAGGGCAGAGACGTGTTAGTTGAGTGCGATTGGGCTGGTATGTGAAGAGGTGCTTGGTGTCGTGCGGGAAGTCTCCACATGCCGGACACTCATTGGCGATATTGGGGTCGTCTGTACAGGTAGCTGTTAAGGCGGCTACAGTATCCATACAATAACTGGGCCAGGGTAACACAGGCCTCTCTTAGCAGTTCAAGCTCCGTTTCTGCCATCCAAGGGGTCTTCGTTTTTGTGTGTAGTGACACAAATTGAAGGGCCTTTACTTTCGGTATGCTTGCTTTTATTTAAGGCTCATAAAAAATGTTTTATTTAAACTTGAAATGCATATGGAAATTTATTTGTAATGCTCAATAATATTCATACATGGGTACATTTGCGTAATAGGAAAAGCTCTCCTAGAAGCATGCAGGGAAGACCTTTTGCAGCGTTCTAAGCCTTTAAGGATGAATTAACTAAAGGCCCACTAAAAAATCTTATGGGTAGTTAGCACACTCATTAAGTTTTTAGTTTTTTCCAATACCTAGTATGAGGTTTAACGGTTGAGAATGTAGATACGTGTTTAACAAATGGAACGATTTGAGACTTCCTTACCAGTTATCAAGTTTGAGTATGTTCAATCTTATATAGTTAGCAGGTTTATTAGATTTCATTAAATTAACAACTTACCCTTGTTTCTCTAATATCTCTTCGAATTCAATGCATTTTACTTCAATTTTCCGTTTACGATCATGGTCTAATATTTCCTTGTTAGGAGGACGATTTAGGGAAGCATCTAGCTTTTTTATATCTTCCTCGGAACGATAATTTGAATTGTCTTTTTTGCCGGGTCGTACAAATGCCCAATTACGTTGTACGTGACCATTGGTGCCAGACCCGCGTGGCGTTGTCAAACCAATGCCGTTGTACATTTCTATACTTTGTTAAATAGTTCAATTGAACGATGATCAATGTCCTTGTAAGCGACAGTGCTGCTGCAAAGATAATTCGCTGTGCTTGCTGAAATATGCAATCCCAACCTACCCTGTCATATATATATATGAATGTATGTATATAATATTGGCAGGGCGGTGTGATACGCTGCAACAAATCGATGGAATTGGAAAATCACTCCATGGCAAAATTTGCCATATTTAACTTTCTTTACAAGCAAACACCTCGGTATTCTTAAAATACCGATGGAAATACGAAGCTTGTGCTTTTAATTTTCACTATTACTTTATAAGAGAAATTTTTGCAAATTCGACGATAATCGCGTTCAATGGTTTTTTCTATTTGACAGCCATGTACATAGCCGCCATGACAGCGAGGATAAAACAGTGCAGCCAAGTTGTGCGATGATGCGTTTGGAAAATTATGTGATATGAACAAGGGGTCTGTTCCAGTTTCAATCAAATTACATCAGAGGGATTTTCTAGTTACAAATTCCCTAAATTTATTTAAACTGTTGTTTTACATAACTTTTAAGGTATTCAGAGGGTGCATCGTTTTAAAAATATTTTGTAGTTAGAAATTCCCTAAAATTATTTTAACTGCTATTTTACATTAAAAAATTATACGACTTTACGACAGTTCCTGAATTGCCGAATTGTGTCGATCGCAAAACTGTTTAACCCTTAGATGGTTATCTTAATTTGACATACATAGGTGACTGGATCGTGGTGCGTATGCGTGCGATACCATTTATCTGTCAAAATTCCCCACTTTTTTTAAAAAGTTAAATAGTCTGCGGCTGCATATCGCCGTTGACATAGTAATTATTTGTGCCTGGCTTGTGGTTTCAATGTAACGGGTTCGAGTCCGACATAATTGTTAGAATCAATAATATATGCACATATGTATTTAAAAGCGGTTTGGACTTTCCAAATGCGGGAAATTCATAAAATCTGGGGAGCGCACGTTGTGTTATTTAAGCCTAGGGATTCCTTGATAAATAAAAGTCCTGTGTAGAAATTGCCACAAGAAAATATGTAACAAATTATAAGCAATATGGGCTTTAGATGCCAGTTTATTTATTTAATGTAACCTTAATATACATATCAATTCCTCCGAGTCTCTATGGTGCTTGCGTGTGTGAGTAAGATTGAATCGCAGACAAGTACCTGAAAAATAATTAAAGGACTTATTTTAAAATTATTCCAAGATTAAAAGCTAGTAGTTGTCATTCATTAGGTCAGTTATGTGATAATATTTTCATTATAACGTTAAACGGAATTCAATGAGATTCCCACTATAAAATCATCAGAAAAGTATATTGTATGAAGCAAAATTTTCCAAGTCATTACCTTCAAGTTCCTAGCATTTTTTGGAAGGCCTTTCAGGTGAAAATCTGCAAATGAAATTAAACGGGTATAAATTATACGGTACTTAAACCAATATGTAAAGCAATTCTTTTTAACATAATCAGTTACTTTAAGATGTTTTCATAATAACACAAGGCGGAATTCAATGAGATTCCCACTAATATATCATCAAACAAAAATTATTAAATTAAATCTGTATTATCTTTTTAATAAATTTCTTTCAGCTTATTACCTTTCCTTCAGCATAATTCTGCTATAAGTTGGAAAGACAGACCTGTAAGGAATCGTAAATGATAAAAATTAGTAAAATCTTGGGATCAAAAAGAGGTATTTATATTATTAGGAATATCAGATACATATATATAGAAATATTTTCATGATATAGAAATATTCAATGAGATTCCCACTAAAACATCATCATAACATGTAAGTAAATAAGTAAAATAAATCGGTTATTACCTTTAAATAGCGAGTTTCCAACATATGTGCCTCGACCATGAGATAGTTACACTTGAAAACCTGAAAATATAAAAAAAAACTTTCTTCCCCCTAACAGTCAGCGTCAGTTAGAGTCGAATTCGTAAAATTCCGTATTGTCATGTTTGTGCATGGTTCAATAATAATTATTAATTAATTATTGAATCATGATGGTTGTGTACCTGCGCTCAAGTCAAATTTAGAATTTTATATATTTTTTTGTTTTTATTTTAGATAAAAATTACTTTTATCCGGTTTTTAATGTCTATTTTTCTTTGAAAAATTCTATACGTAAAAGAAACGAAAAACGCGCAA